GCTGCCTTTCTGGGGTGTGCCAATGGGAGGGTGTGGCCTCATCCTTTCCCACCTGTACCTCTTCTCTCAGTGTCCTTTAACATCTCCTCTGGGGAGAAGAAAATAGCACTGAGGGCCAGGAAGAAGGTGGAAAGGGTCTTAATTGTTCACGTCCTTTCTCATCTTGCTTTTAGAAAAGGTTCCCCCATGTTCCAGGGCTTCAGACAGAAAAAGAAAACAAGGCAGAGGTCTTGAGATAGCTGAGCCAGAACTCCAGCAAATATGATGTGGCTACCCCATCATCATAGGTGGAACAGGAGCTTTGTGTACTAGTGCTGTACCCTAGTAAGTGAACCCTTATTTTATAAGAAGAAACAGCCTGGAGGTGATAGAGGGGACTGGGAGTACTGATTTACAAGTCCTCACTATAGCCTCAGTTAGGGGTCATGGTCATCGGCTAAGCTTCCTTTTGCCTTGTGTGTGTCACATGGCATTGGGCTTTCTGGGCAGCAGATCACGCTGCTGGGTCACCTGGATTGCCAGCGTCTTCTGCCCCTCACTGTGACGTTTGAAGGTTTTGAGGTGGCCTGGGATATGATTTATGGAATCTTGTTCTCTTTTCCTCCTGTATCCTATTGTTTCCAAAGTTTCCTTGTCATCTGTCTGTCCTTGCTTCTTTGCTGTTGATGAATAGAAATAAATCTGATCTTGTAAATCTCCGTTGAAGTTTCATGGCAAGAAGAGGGCCCAGCAGCAAATCTTCTTCCAGGAGAGTGTCCATCATGGAGATTGGGGAAGTATGAATTCAGTCCATCATAGATGGGAAGTAAAGACTCCAGGAGTCTGAAGCATCTGGTAACAGTGCATCCACATTCAGGAACACAATGAGACAAATCCAAGTTAGCACTCAGCTCACATTCTCCACCTTATATATATTCTGAGATGCTCTCCCCAGGAACTGGCACATCCCCTAATTAAGATGAGTCTTCCTATTACTTAGTCCCTTTAGGGAGAAAATTCTCACAACAGATGGTAAAGTTTTGTTACTGTATCTCATGGTATGAAAAATAAAATTAAAGGTAACCAGAAAGTAGGAAAAATAAATGTTTAAAGGATATAAGAATAAAAATATTTTGAGCAAAAAGGAGTTGTGTATAAAGATTAAGATAGCTGGATGTTTCTTCCAGAATGGTGAAAAAAGCATGAAGGACTAAGAGAGTTACAAAGCTCTGAGTATGCTATATAACATACATAAAATGAGATTTAGAGATGATATGTATATGATATTAAATCTAATTCTAAGGACAAAGGTCAAGGCATTGTAATCAAATCTCTACTACTTATATCAATGGAGGAAATTAAGTAGTTTCTTTCTTGGCTAAAGACCATAATTTTCTTGGGCTTTGGGGCAGCCTTTTCCTTTTTGGAGGCCAGAAATGCCAGTAGTGTTTAGGAGATCTGATTACTTATCTGGTTCCTAAATCATTTTAAGGTTACCTCTTCAGAGTGGCGAATGTTAGAGATAAAGGGTCCTTCTGGCAAAGAGAATGGAATCTCTGGCCTGGGTGGATCTAAACTTCCAGCTGGACAGTATGGTTTTTTAAATGAGAATTGTCCCCTACAGGATCATGTATTTCAACAGTTGGTGGTACTCTTTGGAGAGGTTATGGAACTTTAAGAACATATAGCCTTGTGAGAAGAAATGCATCCCTGGAGACTGAGCACAGGCTTTGAGAGTTTACAGCCTTGCTCCACTTCCATTTAGTTCTTACTCTTTCTGAATGTGGACCATCATGTGATCTCTGAGCTTCCCAATCTGTCCATCTGTGAGTATGCTTTCTCAGCTACTATGGACTCTTTCTCTTGAACTTTAATCCAAAATGAACTCTTTCTTTTACAAGTCACTTTTGGTCATGGTATTTATCACAGCAAGCAAAAGTAACTGATACAGTGTCAATGACCTGAATACAGGACTACCCCTCTGGAAGGTGGGTTCTCATTGAGCAACACTACAGAGATAGGAGAATAATAACTCTTCTTTTTAAAGAGTACTGAATTGTTCCTAACCACAATTTCCACACAACTCCTATAACCCTA